AAGAAAAGGTCTAAAGGAGCAGGAGAATTGGGAGGGGTAGGGGAAAGGAAAGAAGGGAAAAGAAAAAATATGAGAAAAGGGAAAAAATGGAAACACAGTTTTTGCAAATAGGGAAGGGTGGAGGGGTGAAGGGAGAGCAGGGGAAGGGGAAAAAATAAGAACGAAGATATTCATGCAATGGTTCAAGATCCGAATGATGAATGTAACTGTATTTTATACCTAAAATATACCAATAAACTTAATGGGGAAAAAAATAAAATAATAAACGACCTTCTCATGGCTCCTCACACCCTTGTCATGGCGGGTCCCGGGGCACTATGACCTTATATATTGTGACACTTAAATTATGTGTTTACCTATCATTGTACTCCATTAAACCGCAAATTGCTTTTTTAAAAAAAATTCGAAAAAAAAATAATTCTGAGTCAAATTACAACATCAGATCTTTAACTTTCTAGCCTGCTCGTCTGGTCTGGAGATGATTGACTTGCAACCACCACAATTGCGGGAATTGGTTTTCCAACATTCCTTTCCATCTCTGTCTCCTGTTGTTTCTGTTTCTTCAGAGAACCTTGGCCAGTGCTCCTTGTTGTGTACTTTCTGGGGTCTTGAAGCCACACTTAGGAGTAAGCGGGAGACAGGGGCCCTTGCCTCATGTGAGGGAACCACTCAGTTTGTGACAGCTGTGCTTGTGGAGGCTGAAGGGTCCAGCAGCGCGGGGAGGAAGCCACAAAGCCACCCAGGAGCCACTCTCAGAATAAGTAGGACTTAGAGGCAGGGGTTCCACGAAGGCCATTTTTGGGGTGTCTGCGTCACTCCAGCAGAAGATGCATACAAAGATATTTCACAGGATAGGACAGCATCCTTTGATCCAAAATACAACCTCAACACTTTCTTACAGAGGATGGAATGTAGATTCTGAACTGGACACTTTAACAGGGGCAGGTAATAAGTGTGAATGGAAACTAATTAGTGTTTCAGACCGCTGAGCTGGTGGAGGACCCATTTGTGATGCGGCCTGCATAAGTTAGCAGTCACTTTTCAGTGCCTAATGAGACTTTGCCCTGTTCCTTGACAGAATGAAATAGGGCGCTGCCGCTCCCATGCCATACTTAACCGAGTGCCCAAAGCTGGCAGTCCCAATAGAGTTGGTTTTTGTATGTGTGGCAAAAGCTCCTTTCTCCCTGGGGGGGGCTGATATAGGTGACCCCTGGATGGTGGCATATTGTGTCACATACAGATGGGAATTCCGCCTCGCAGTGAACACCTATCATGTGCTACTGCGAGGGAAAAGCCACCAGACTCTTGTTGAACAAAAGGAAAAACAAAGAAACAAGGGGCAAAGTGGCTAAGCCACACTATATTTATTTATTTTTTTCTATCCTAGGTTTAGTAATTTAAAGAGTATCAATAAGAGAATTTTAAGATGATGATATTTGGGCTCTAAGGTGTCAGGGCTGACGTGTTTGCAATGTTTCGGAAAGGTCGACATTTACTCCCGGTCGTTTCATGTCACTATGGGCTGAAACTGTCCCAAATCCAGGGACAGGGCACCGGCAGGACAGACGGACAGTCGGCGGGCTGGGGTAGGGTCAGGAGAGCTGCTCTGGCCACTACCTGTGGAGTACTTTCTGGGCTCAGAGACTGAAGCGCTCCTCTGGAGAGGGGGTCATTTCTTCAGGAGCCTGCCCACGGGGACCAGCAACAGCACGGGGTGGATCTAATGGGACATCTGTCCTGCTCCTCCTCCCTCCTCTGCAGCCACCTCGCTTCCAGCCACGTGTTTAATGTCTGGGGAAGCAGCAGTTACTACTACGCAAAACCCTTGCAGGAAAAAGTAATCCTAGGAGCAAGCTCCCTAAGTGTTTTCAGGGTACTTAATCTATGTGAGCATAAAGTACGGGAAAACTTTTTTGCTGAATCCCAGAAAACAAACAAAAATGCTAAAACCAATGACAGACACAGTAAGACAGAAAGAGTGACAGTTGAGCTTATCAACTTGATCGCCTTGGGAGGGGAGCTGCCTAGAGGATTAGTAAAGCAGGCTTCCAGTGTGTGTGGATGCTCTTGGAGGCATGACCTTGTGTTCTCTTTCTAGTCCCTGCCCCTTTCTCTCTGGCACTGTCCTCTTTCCTGAGTGTCTTTATGAAGCAAAATCAAAACTATGGTGACTGCTGCTGCCGAGTGCCACCCAATGGAAAGGCAGCTCATAAACACATGGCGCTGCGTCCTCATCCACCTTATTCACTGGATCTGCCCCTGTGTGACTTCCGGCTCTTCCCAAAGTTTGGATGAATTTGGGACATTGAGCAGCCAGGACAGTAAAAATATAGACGCTCAGGAAAGAGGACTCCAGAGCTGCTGCAGAAAGTGTGTTTAAAGGGAGGGGGAGGATCTGGAGGGGATTCATGGCAATGTCTTTTACTAAAATAAACCTTTCCTATTTAAACCCACATTGTACTTTTTGACCACACCTAGTTAATGCACTGATGGAGATTTGCATATTTTGTGCATATCCTTACTTCCTAATGACATTTACCCCCTGGCTGCTCTAAGCAGCCATCACTTCGAGCAGCACCCTGCTTCCTAGTCACCCTTTACCCTGATAGCTGTTGCCTGGATGGCTCAGTCACAGTCCTGGGTTCTGAGACCCACCCTACCTCACCCTACGCTATCAGTTTCCCTTTCTGAGGTGGATTATGATGTAGATGTTTCGGCCCTTTCTTACTTCATTTTTTTAAAATTTATTTTTATTTTTAATTAATTAATTTATTTTTGGTACCAGGGATCAAACTCGGGACCTTGCACTTGTGAGACAAGCAGCGGAACCACTGAGCTAAATCCCTGGCCCTCTTTATTTTTATTTTCTGTATTTTGGCTGGTACTTGTGCCTCATGCCAGCAATACCCCAGGTCCCCCCTCTTGACATAGCTGGGCTGACACAGCCCTGCCCGCCTACTTTAAGCCACAGGCTCACCTGTTTTGGGCATCTGGTTGTAAGTTTTCCTAGAGTAGGGTCAGTGCTTCTCATTTAATTTGAAATTGCTGGATTAGACTTCCCCTCCTAGAAAAAGCTACTCCTGGAACAAATATTTTCACAATCAGCACTTCAGTTAAATTTGTTCTGAAAGCTTATGTTCCCCTCCCCGCTTCTGTTAGGCCAGAAGTCCCCAGGGCGGTAACAGGAGAGAGGGCTCAGGGTTAACTCTGGGCAGAGGCAGCAGAGGACAGCTGCGGGCCCCTGTGGAAGGGGGTTTCCCTTCCGTCTCAGCAGGGACGGTCCCTCTCTTAGATGTGGGCACACCTGGCCCCCCAGCCCTGCTGTCCTAGACACGGGCCTCCCAGCGCTGGTGGAGCCGATTCCTCGGAGTGAAACGCTCTAGAGGTGTGCTGGTTACCTGAACGTCTAAGCAGGATGAAGGCTTCCTGGCGCAACTGTCCCCGAGCGAAGAGGAGGTAGGATCAGCTCCCTGGGCCGGTGGCTGTAATTGCTGGGAGATGGTTTTGATTTTATTGCACTTGATTTGATTTCACCCACAGGGGAGCCGCGGTGAAGCAAGGGTCTGCAGGGCTTCCGGGTGGTCCGGAAGGGTCTGCCTGACCCGCCCTCCGTCCTGCATGAGCAGGCAGGGTCCTGCCCTCGGCCCACCCGCACCCTCTGTCTCTTCCCGCCGCCGCTCTCCAGCCCATTTCGCCCTTGAGCCCCGGCTCTGGCCTCTGCTCCCTCCTGCATGGCTGCTCTTTGCTTTTCACCTTGTGCAGGCTTGGAAGTCTTCCTGTCCGTACGACTTGGGCCTGGAGGGGCCTTCTCCTGACTCGCTGAGGAGTTGAGGGGCTTAGTAAAGCACTAAGATCTGGAAGCACGCCTGCAGTCCTAGCCCTCGGGAGGCCGAGGCACAAGAAACACAAGTTTGAGCCCAGCCCGGCAACGCAGCGATTTAGCAAAACTGTCTCAAAATAAAAAGCAAAGAAAAGGCTGTGCAGGTAGCCAGGGTGAAGGCCCCGGGGCTTTGCAAACAAACAAACAAATGGAAACTCACAGAGCATGTCTGAAGCCAAAGAGTCCCCGTTTGACAACTTGATTATATCTGTCCAGCTCGAGAGAAATAAAAGTGCTGCAGGAGATGGGTGAAATAAGCGCCATCCTAGCCCCTTTAGTGTCTTAGTGACAACTTTCCCAGAGTGGACAGATGAATAAGCAGAGATGGGAGAATTCCAAAGCACAGAAATAAACGTGATTTCTCGCATATTTTATTTTTATTCTCCCGTTTGCCTACGTAGTGCTCACATTCCTTGTGGGGAGCTGGTACTTTTCTATAACCCACCTTAGTTCCTGCCCTCACCCCTTTCCCTTCCTTCCCTTCAGAGGAAAATCTCTCTCCCTACTTCCTGTCTTTTATTTTGCTCTCTATTTATACTGTGCGCTTCTCATCTAAGAGAAGCCATGTGATATGTAAGCTTCCCTGTCTGATTTATTTCACCCAACATGATGGTCTCAAGGTGCAGCCATTTTCCTTTTGAAATATCTTTTCTTCAGATACTATAATACCTAGATTTAACGATGTTTATTAAACCTCTATAAACATATTTAATTTATAAATGTAAAATCGGAAATCTCCAAATATGATAGATTTGATATGGAAACTCACACATCACTATTTTTGACATGTTTATGTGGAAGGGAGAACAATAACAGACATAGTGACCATATTTAGAATTTCAATGGCAGAAAATTTCTTCTCTTTTAAGGATGGGAGCGACTCTTTTTATGAAGAATGAGAGATTTCTTAAAGATGTTAGGATAAATGGGATTTAATATTCATAAAACTGAGATTTGGTGACAATAAAGTCCATGGGAAGAACATTTAAAATATGAAAAAAAGAGACACAAATCAAGTCTATTTTGTTGCTCTTTTAAGAACACTGGAAAATTTATGCTCCTAACACAGAACTGGAAGGGGGAGTTCCCATACAATGAAAATAATTCCTATCGATTACTAGTTATTCTTTAGGAAATAATTTAGAATATTAGGAGTTCAATATCAGTACATCAACATGATAAAAATTGAAGGCAGTGTCATGAGGCTGAAATTTATTTCTATTTTCTGAAGTTTAAATTTGTATGGAGAGAGCTGAGACTCATCCATGGACACTTCCATTCAAAACTGAAGGGCTGTTGACCTCCAGTTATGTCCAAGGAAACAATCATACAAGCTCCGTACAAACTACTTGACATGGAGTAAATGGAGACAAGCCTGAAAATCACTAAGCAGGCCTGTCCATTGACCCAACAAATCAAGCTTGCTAGTTTTCCCTTCCAAAAAAATGGGGAAAAACAAGGGAAAACGTTCTCTTAGTTATTTCATGATTAGAGTTACTCTTGTAAATGGTGTGGTTCTTTAATTATATTTTCCAATCCATTTGTTCTTAGGAAATTGTTCATTGAGACAGGATCTCACTAGTAGTTCAGGCTGGCCTTGAATTTATTACATAGCCTATGTGGGCTGGAACTCATAGAGATCCTGCTGCCTCAGCCTACCAAGTGTTGGAATTACAGGCATGTGCCATTATGGCCTAGCCACATGGGAAATTATGAATACTTAAAAATTCCTATTGTCCTTATATACCCAGGGTGGCTTCTCCTTTATGGCTGAATTAATCTTTCTGATGAGAAGAAGACTCTAAAATGATTTGTTAGTTTGTCTTCAATTTTCTTGGCAAGTGCGTTGTTCAGCTGCATACTCGTCTGTCATGGTTTAAATCTCAATGCTCCCATTGTCTGTGCTCAGAGATGGGGATCTTGAAGGTTTTTGTATCATAGGGGTGCCACAGTCATCAGTAGATTAATCCAGTCCATAGCTGAGCATGCTGTTAGGAGGTGGGCTGGTTTCGAGGCGTCATGGGCAGCGTGCATTCTTGTCATGGCCCCTCCGTTCTCTCCCTGCTTCCTGGCTGCCGACAGCTGAGGAGCTTTCTTTCCCCGGGCCCTTCCACCATGCTTTTCTGCCTTGCTGTCAGGAACCATGGACTGAACCCTCTGAAACTTAGAGGCAAAAAACCTCTTCTGCTTTAGGTTCCAAGGATTGGGTATTTTGTCCCAGTAAAGGGAAGGTGACTGGAACCTCTGGTCTACAGTGTGAAGGCACAGGCCCCGTATCTCCACCTTGGAAGCTTATTTCAAAGGGAAAAAGGAGGTATTCCCTGACTTCCATTTTCTCCCTTCTTCCCACCTCACCGACAGTTCAGTCCATGCTGTGGGTGTGTGAATAAGCAATAAGGCGGCTCTTCCTTCCCCAGCCTCATTTGGAAATTTCTGGCTGCGCTGTCCTGGACTTGGTGCTGGGGACGTTACATGTCAGTTCCCAGCGACTTTGATTTGACCTAAATGGCTTATCTGTCCAACAGTCTCTTGAGTTTGAATCCTAGTCAGCCTTCTTGTGTCAGCAGGGATCAATTGTGGCAGGGAGACAATGGCCCTCAGAGATGGGCTCACCTTAGTCCTGGAAGCCTGCGAATATGTTGTCATACCCTGACAGAGAGACTGTGTATGGGACTAAGGATGTCACCCTCGACATGGGAGGTCACCCAGGACTGTCAGGGTGGGCCCAGCTAGTCACAGGGTCCTTCGAAGGGCAGAACATACCCAGCTGTGGTAGGGGAAAGAGATGTGCTGAGGGAAGCAGGGCAAGAGAGAGCCAGTACTTCTGGCTTTTGTGGACAGAAGCCAGGCCCATGGGGTGAGGCAAACTTCCAAGCTCTTCAGTCCTTAAATTTGTGGTAATCTGATATGGCATCAGTAGAAACTGATAGATGGACAGATGAGTCTATGTAGGCTGCCACGACAAAATGCTACAGGCTGGACAGCTTAGACCATAGAAATTGCCTTCCTCAAGGTGCTGCAGGTGGAGAGTAGAAGGATAAAGTACCAACACAGCCCATTTTCTTCCTGGCCAGGGGAGAGAGAAACCGGAGGCAAACGGAGGCAAAGACTACAGCTTCCCCTTAGGGCGTCATTAAACCTCACTTACCTTCTAGGATGCTATCTAGAAACACAGTCACATTGGGATTATGAATTTAATTTTGAAAAAAATGCTTTCTCTTCATTGCTGTGATGTATGTGTGCACGTGTGTGTGGACGTGTGGGTTTCATGGATACAGGACTAATTAGTACTTGTGATGGTACTTCTCTTCAAAATATCTCTCCATTGAAAATGTTTATGTCGTACATTTTAACTTTTTGCTTTAAAAAGTTTAATGTAGGAGAAATTTTCAGATATCATGCAGCCTTCCCTTTACTCTACCCCCACGTTAGCATCTTGGATACTCCCAGGAGAAGCACCAAACTCCGAAGCCTGGTGAGGATGGGATACTAGAAGCCGAACTGCAGAGCTCTCTAGAATCTCGTCGATTATTCTAGTGTGCCTGTTTTCTCTTCCAGGCCCCAGTGGAGGATCCCATATTGCATTTCGTTTCCGGTCTCATTATCATCTAAATTGTAGCCATTTCTCAGTTTCCTTGTCTTTCATGTCTCTGATACTTTTGAGGAGCTCAGATCAGTTATTTTGAGGAATGTCTTCAATTTGGTCTCTTGTTCTTTTTTCCAAAAGGAGAGCCCTTGGTGTTGATTCAGATTTCTGACTTCCTATATCGACATAAAGGTGGCTGAAGATCAGGCCAGGTGAAAGATCTGATGTTTCCCTTGCTTCATATGGGCATTTCGCGTCTTGAACTGGACTGAGCAACACAGCATTCCAAGGACTTCTGCTTTTTCCAGGTACCATCCTCATCTGAGGACCCCAATTCTACTTCTCTCTGTAATCCCATTGCTGGATCCAAATGTTTCTCAGCAAATTTTAAACAGCTGGAAATAACTGCATGCTTAAGAGAGAGAAATCACTTCAGCGAGTTGCCCAAGCCTGGGCCTGATTAGTAGATGGATGCCTCGTGGAGACAGTGATTTGGGAGCTGGGGTACTCTGATGATGGCTAATAACAGCAGGCATATTTAGTAATTGCTAGGGTACAGTATGCCAGGAGTTGTGCTAAATGCTTTGTGTAAGTTATCTAATTGATTCTTTCAGCCACCCCCGTAGGAAGACAGGAAATTGCAGACTTGAATGGTTAAGCATTTTGCTTGTGATGGTGCAGTTTGGAGAGTCTGAGTCTGGAGCAGAGATAATTTGGCAGTTAATAAACAAGATTAAACAGCACTGCGCCAGCTGGTTTATCAGATAAGGGTTCAATGGAAGATGGGGCTGGGGACAAAAAAGAAGGATGAGAGAGAGGAGAAAACTCCGGAATCAAGACTCTCAGGCTAGAAAGATTTATAGAAATTGTCCAGATTAATTAACTTCTTCCCTGCTGAGCCAGTCCCACATTATTTTTCTACCGGATAACCAGCCCTCACTTCATTCTTTATCAGACATTCTATTTTATTTGTAGGCTACTGTGACCGTTCAAGACAATTTCTTCTTTTGGTCTAAAATTTGCTTTTTAAAAATCATCACATTCTGGGGATTTAGCTCAGTGGTTGTTCCAGTGCCTGCCTTGCAAATGCAAGGTCCTGAGTTCAATCCCCGGTGCTAAAAAAAAAAACCCAAACAACAACAACAAAAAAGTCATCACACACTGGTCCAGTCAAGGTCTCTGGAGTTAGCAAGATGATTACAAATATCTCTTTTGCTTGACAGTCCCTCAAATATTTGGTGACAACTCTAATGTTCTCCTTAGGTCTTTTCATGGCTCCCTGCAAGCGCTCCGGGTCTACTCCGTATTGCAGATTGGAGTTCCTCTTACTTAGATTTCCTGAGAGCCCGGAGCACATCTGAACATTCATGCACCGGATTCTGCCTGGCACTTAACATGTTTTCCAATTGAGGTTTGCCTGGCAAATCAAACTCTTACCTTGCAGAGAAAGCGGGGCAAAGGGTTTTTTCAGAACACACCGTCATTCTGCAATGTTCCTTTTCTTTTCTTCTCCTCCCTTGCTTTACTGGTGACTGGATCCTAAATAGAACTTCCTGAGGTAGGGGCACTTTCTAATTGCTCTTTTTTGCACTGAAACTTATTACACAGGTCCAAACTATAAATTCCTCTTGAAATCCAAAATAGTTTCAATAAGAAAATGGCTCCTGTGAACTTGAAACTTGTGGTACTTACTCTGCTATTTTAAAACAGAAGGTCTTTTAGTGAGCACAAACCCCAAAACATGTCAAAGTGATACCATATTTTTGGTCTTGTGATACTTAAATAATCATTAAACTGAAATACTAAAACTATCAGCATTTTGGATCAGCTGAAAATTAACCTGAGTCATTCATAGTTCATTTCTAACCTTTAATTTTCTTTGCAGCTGCTCTGCAGAGGGTCTCAAATGCTAGTAGTGTGTATAATTTTGGGCCATCCTACTTCTTGAGGGCATTCATTACACAGAAGGTCAAATATTACTGTTCACAAGACAGTGAGCTATACTTATCTTTAGCGGGAGAAATTAAATGTTTTGAAATGTTTTTGAGTTTCAGGAGCCAGTATTTAGAAAAATTAGATTCTTAATTTTCCTTAAAATTTGTTATTATTTTACAAAATGGGAACTGATTGAATAGTGTCAAATCTAATAACCAACATTTATTCCATTTGTGTTAAAAATGAGGGACGTGTCTTTATTCAATAATGAATTGCTTGAATAAAAATTATTTGAATTACCCTAATAATTACAGGAATTCTTCAATTTGTCCCCCATGAAACATGGATGTCAAAGTTTCATCAGAAAATGGTTGAAATGAAAGGTTCATCTTAGCAATAAATGCCCGTCTGGGACATTTCATGCTCTATGAATCCAAAAGGTTGATTTTTAAAAAGAGAAGGAGATATGCCCTGGATATATTTGGTTATTTTTAGCAAGATCAGGTGTCATGGTATTTAAATGAAGACTTTGGTTCTATGTAATTAATCTTGAGAGAAGACATTAGCTAAGTTTGGGGGTGAAAATAGCAAATTCATTAGAAACATTCTACTAAAATATGATACTCCTAAATTTACTTCTGGAAAAGTAAGTTAAGTATTAAGGCATAGGACTGATTCCTGAGTACTACCACTTCTTGGAGTGTCATCTGAATAATTCACTGATGCTCCCAGGACTGAAAGTTTCTGTCTTGCCCCTCTCTTGTGTTGACTGCATGTTGTGAACAACAAAAGCAAAACTGAGTGTGACAGGGACCTCAGCGCTGTGGCTGGCCTGGGCTACAGCGAGCGTGCACTCAGGGCGTGTGTCAGAGTGTGCTGGGCACAGTTAGAACACCGAATGTGCTTCTTACTGAGAAAAGAAGGGAACTGAGCACATGAAGCCTTACCTGTTTATCACTGCCACATCTTGTGGTGGACCACATGGGACAGAGGCCTCAGATAATGTCCAGAGTCCTGGGGAGCCCTGGCAGGGTCTCCAGAGGGTGGACTCACCACAACCCTGCTCATCTTGGCCCCATTCTGGAAAAAGGAGGCTCACTGGTCTGCAGCCTGCCCAGCCGAGCAGAGCTGCCGATATCAGCTGTCTTTAGGGAACCCTTCGAAAAAGAGCTTTAAAGGTTTCTGGAAAGATATCAGAGATAGCAGCTAACACTCCTCATGCAAACACAAGAGAATATCTAGAAAATTGCAAACAATTTTTCTATTACTGAGCTTTTTATCAGGCATAGACATCCAATAATAATAAAATAGTGATTATCTAAGATTAAGAGGTTAATCCTTTAAAACTCAAAACTATGAAAAATTTTCATCTTCTTACTTTCTTTCTCTTTTCCTCTTATGTAATATTATCATACATATTGCAAATATGATAGAAAAAGATACCTGGACTAGAATTAACAATGATTCTGGGCCGGGGATTTAACTCAGTGGTTCCACTGCCTGCCTCGAAAGCACAAGGATCCGAGTTCGATCCCTGGTACCAAAAAAGCAAAACCAAAAAGAATTAACAATGATTCTTTAGCCCAGTATATAGAGTACCTTAAATATATTAGCTAATGAAGTACATATAAAGATTTATTTTTAAAAATGTATGTTGAGAGTTGATGTAGAGGGCCAACACTTTATTGGTAAGTGAGGTTATTAAAGAAGTTTGAACCTACTTTTTTAGTATATGTGCTGCCGAAGCAAGCACAGTTTGAACCTACTTTTATTCTCCAAGACTAAATAAAAATTTAATTGAGAAAGTATTTTATATCACTTGTTCTCAACAGCACATTATAAAAATTCAACACTGTGGCTTCACTAAGTAGTTACTGGAGTCATCTTATCAATGATCATGACCATTCCCTTCTTATTTATTTTTGCTAATGCAATTTGTAATGTAGACAAACCTAACTCTCGTGTATCTGACCTGAAATCAGTTCTGCCCCCTGCTTGGCTGAAATGTGAGGCAAGGCAGGTGGAAGAATATTAAGTCTGAATCTGGGTTACACAGTGGGCTTTAGGCCAATAGAGGGACATTATTTAATTTTCCAGTGTCATAACTGAAACTGAGAAATGAAAGAGTAAGGGCTGTATGTGTGTGGAAAGGCTGACTTTTGTTTGTTTGTGTTTGTTTGTTTGTTTTGGTACCGGGGAAAGAATTTGGGTCCTTGGGCTTGTGTAGTAGGCGGCGAAACCACTGAGCTAAATCCTCGGCCCGAAAAGCTGACTGTTTGAATTTAAAGACTCGCTTGAAAACCTGAGCATTTTCCTAATTTTATAGATTAAAAACATGATTGATGTCAAGAGAATACACTTAAACTTTAGCAGTAACTTAGTTCTAGTGTGTAGTCAGTGTGATTGACCGTTTGTCTTATTTTTGTTTTGTTTTTATTTTCTCTTTATCAAGTCTGGCTGTAGCCTTGAGAAGGGAGTTGGATTCTTTGTAGTTATGTGCATCTTACATTCGATGAGCAGGTGCTTATTTAATCTGAGCAGCACTTTTTCACCTCTTTTCTGGGAGCAAAACTCTTCTTACTTTTGGAAACATCCCCTCCTGTTGCTGGAAGGGCTGACAATCATATATCCGCAAACCTCTGTCAGTGTCACAGCCACAGGCTTGGCCTTGGCCATGGACTCAAACCAGGATTTCTCCAAAAATATTAAAAAGAGTAGCTCTATTTGTTAGTCTGTGGCCATGGGGACCAAGGGATCTTGGATGTTTCCGTAGCTACCCTTGTATCATAGAAGGAGAGGACGCCAACGCAGGGAGAGCCCAGGTACAGAGGGAGAGACAGGGACCTGTGTTTGGCACTCTGATCTCTCCCAGCTCAGTCCCAGCCTCCTTGCAGGATCCTGATGATTGCACATCCTATTCTGGTTTAAGCTAGTTTGTGCCAGCGTATGTCGCTTGTTACCAAAACATTAGTAAGGCAAAAACTATTGGCATAGCTCTGCTTTCAGTGGTATAGGAAAGCCACATGAACTTACGGACTGACCTACAAAAATGGCAATTTCTTATGGTTCAACCCAATATGATAGAAAGTTCAGATGATCGGAAGACTCGAAAGTCCTATTTCTACCACTTACTCTGTGTCCTTGGCCTTTTCTGCATTCCAGTTTCCTGTACTGAAAGGGAAGGGACACTTTGGAGCTGATGTGCATGCAGAGAGAGTATACACGCTGAAGGAAAGCACATGAGGGCTTTGGTAAAGGATCTAGCCCTTTAAACATGCCACCTCTCATAGCCATCTGCATGTCTGACTCCTGAGATGGGTTCCAGCATCACTTCTCAGTGCTGCTTGGGCAAAACTCTGGAAACTGTGGCCTGTGGGAGGTGATGGACAGGTCAAAATCTACCGAGAGCAGCCCAAGGTTCCGACTTATGGTGGAGAATCTGTCCTCCGTCAAGGTAGAATTCAGAGGACTTGTCTGGCTTCCAGGGGCCTACTTGACAGGTGATAAGGCTTTCCAGTTTTGTTTTGTTTTTTGTACCAGGGATCGAACTGGGGACCTTGCGCTTGTGAGGCAGGCTGTGGAACCACTGAGCTAAATCTCCGGCCCTTTCCAGTTTTTTGGAGAAACTCAAGGGAAGACTCCATCAATGAAGGCATCCTCACAAGTCAGGAAGACACCCCTGGAGGTGAGAAGGAAACTAATACTTCTCGGTACTTATTCTATATTACTTCTGGTCAGAGAGTCAAACCCACAAAAACCTCGCAAGATAGGTATTCTTACTTTATTACCAGTTACTAAGAGGCTCTCCCAAGATCCCAACCAATTTACAGAGGCAAGATCCTGACCCGAGATTATCCGAGTTTAAAGCCCAAGCCTGGCTGCCTATTTTCCAAGGCCACATTGAAAAGTAAAGTTGACCTAGTTTTGCTGCTGCCTCAAGCTAATGAAGAGATGAGCTGGTGGCCTATGGCTGGTGATAGCATTTTCAGCCACAGGAAAATCCACCCTCATGGCAGAAATCTCAGAAACTCCATGGAGACAATGAAGGAAGTGTAATACTTCTAAAAGTGTAAGCACTGGTTTTTAAAGTAAATTTTGATGCCAGGTACATTCTTAGGTACATAAAACTCGTACACCAAAATGGGTACACAGTAAATCTGGGCTTCATAATTAGCACTACATGATTCTTAACTCAATAATTTGGGGTATAAAGTACTCTAAAAAATAAAAATGGTAAAAAGAAACATGGAGAACATTACTTTAAAGAGGCATAATGAGCCCCATTTGGGAGAAAGAAAAACAGACAATAAATCAGTTGAATAAATATAGACTAAAATCTGGATAGAATTATCCCAAATTAGTTAATAGGTTAATTCAAAATAATATTTTAGGCTTCCAGCCATGGGCTCACAGATTCACCAAGTCGGCCCTCAACATCGGCTTTCGGAATCTGTTCTATATTTATTTTAGTGGGAATGAGTGAAGAATTAAGACATAACTAAATTTCTTTTCCATGATGTATATGTTGCACCAGTGCCATAAAAACCTAGTTTCCTCAAAGTTTAATTTATCAGTTTGAGTGTGAGATTAAAATAAAGATACTCGTGGACATTTACAAATATACACATGTGTATGCAGACGTGCGTTTATCTTTCATGCAGCTCTCCCTGGCACTGGGGGTGGAGAAAGAGTGAGGTCACCAAGAACGGGATTTGTTTTCTGGTCCAAGCTAACTAAGTAGCTGGGGCAGGATAGGCTTCTGGCATTCTGTGATATTCCAGGTTCAGACTCCACAGGCTTTGAGTCTGCTTTTTATTGTATAAATGAATGTTAGCAATATTTATAAACAGTAAGGGGATGCCAAGATAGGAACATGAAAGACTGCTACATCTTTTGACAATATGCAGGAGGATATACAATATAATGTTTCAGATCAGCATAAGTAGCCTTATGCTCAACCCTGATAAAAACGCTTTACCCAAAAATAAAAAAATTCTCAACATTATTATAAGTTACCTGATATTGATATTATAACTGGACCCTAAGCACTGGGTTTACTTTATATTAATTGGATAACCAGACCTGGAGAAGATAGTTTCAACCTAACTAGTAAAGATTCATATCCAGAAGGCACACATAACTTAAAATTAATGACAACAAGTTTGATTTCTATAGGTAGGGGGAAGACCTGTTCAACCAGACTGACAAGGGCCATGTTGAAAATAGTTGTTCTTTGATCCTATCATGGGGTGGGAGAGAAGAGAGTGTGGACCTAGTGGAATTGCAAAGGAGCGTCACCTCCTACAGAGAGAGGAAACAGTGCCAAGGAACTGTGAAAGTGCCTTTGCCCCAGTAACTCCACCTCTGCCTATCCATCCTAGAGGAATTTTAAGGCAAACACACAAGAAGTTGTTCAGAAGAGTGCACAGCAGCAATGCATATAGTAGCAAAAGTGAAATGGACAAAGAACCTGTGATTTGTCATGTAGGAAGCTAAAACGCAGTCTAAGTTGAATTGCACTAGACCTGTATACAACAGTATGGGTCAACCTAAAAAAAAAAATGAAGAAAAAAATCCATCCAACCAACCAAACAAAAACCCCAAACGTAAAGGGGTGTATAAGCCAAGCTTCAAAAGGACTGAACAGTAGGGAAACATTTGTGTAAATTTTGTGACACAGAAGCATTGGGTTTACATATTCCAGAGATGCATTCATATGCAGAAAGAACACAAAAGCCAATGTGGAGAGGATACCATCACTTTCAGATAAGAGGATGCTTCTAGGGAGAAGGACATGGAAAGGGAGAGGAAAATAATCATTGCTTGAATTATAATGTTTAAACTCACCTCTTAAAAATAAAAGGTGTGGAAGAGTGCAGAATGATCAAGCTTGTTTAACCTCGATGGTGGATCCCTGGTTGTGTGTTGCCTTTTTGCTCTTTTACACAGGTTTGAAACATGTTATAATTAAATGAGAACTCAAAGTGTAACTAATTGGGTATCAGCTTCAAGTTGAATGTGCTAAGATGCATCACCTTATCTCTTTTCTTTAGCTTTCTTGTTCCCTTTACCTTCTAGAGTACATCCTGAGGCAATCTTGTTTCTGGATGTTTACTGTGATGATTTAGATCTTCTAGAATGTCCCCCCAAAGCTGGTGCTTGGGGATTGGATGGACCAAGGCGGTGCTATGGTCATCAGTGGGTTTATCCATTGATGAGTTCATAGCTCAGTGAGCTGTTAGAAGGTGGGGCCCGGTTGGAGTTTGGTCACTGGGGGTATGACCTGGAAGGGTGCATTCTTGTCTCTGCCTCCTCCCTCCCCTCTCTGGTTCCTGATGCCATGAAATGAGCAGTTTTCCTCCACCAGGCCCTTCCACTGTGCCATTTCTGCCTCGGAGCCAGCAACCATGGACTGAAGCCCCAAAACCGTGAGCCAAATTAAACCTCTCCTCCTTTAAGTTGTGGGAATGGAGTTTTTTCTTCCAGCAACAGGAAAGTTGACAAATGCAATCATGTAGGTGAGGGCTTTATGGCCATTGAGCAAGTGTGTCACAAGGAGCTGCAGGCACAGAGACTCCCCTGTAAATCTCCTGGGCTGTCCTTGTACAGTAAATGCATGGGAGCCCCAAAGGGGCAAGGTGCAAGACACCCTTGCAGGTTATTTGTCTGAGCACCCAGAGACCTCTTTGGTGGTAGCTCAGGAAGGAAAAGGAGGGACAGAATGGGGCAGTGAGGCTTCATCTCACAGTCCCACTCCATTTACTGGCCCCGGAGGCTTAATGTAGGCACAGCCCAAGCTGGAGAAGGGGTTGAGGCTCTTCGATGCTCTTCTGGAACCTGGGCCCAGCCTGGCATGAGGTCTTCATGCACAGACAGACAGCAGAAAGTGTCGCCTCTATTGAGAAGGGCCGGGAGCCCAAGTGGAAGCAGTCTGCACTTTGTAGGAGCTGATTCCTGGGCTTGAAAGATGAGAACAATAGAGACAGTGTTGGAATGAGGTAGAGTTTTGTCTAAAGTCTGTCCTTGCAGCCACCTCCACCCTAGCTCTGCTCTCCCACTCCTGCCACTCCTTGGTCCCTCAGGAGGCAGGGAAACAGCCTGGGAGCTTGTGACTCCAGCCGTTGCCCCGGTGGGGGACTGGAGAGTGGCTGTGGTTCTGATGAGGATGGGCTGGGATGGGTTGGCATTCCTTGGGGTGAGAGCCTGAAGCAATGCAGACACCTCTAAGCCAGTGCGTGATTGTGTACCTGTGCGGTACCCGTGTGAGGTAGCAGTTCTCTCTTTGTTCTGATTTTACACGACCTGAAACTGGTGCCTCCTAACAAAAAGGTATTGCCAATAGATTGGTTCACAAGGTACATTTGACTTGTGAAAAACATGCTTGAATTTGACTTTGCATGTATTTATGAATTTGGGAAGTTATAAAAGATATGCCACCATCTCAACTCCCTACCCCCAAATCTCTTCTTTCCTGCGTTTTCATGATACAATATTTCCCTTGCTATATGTCCAGTTATGTCTTTAGTGCTTGTAGATTGGAGTAAAGTATTTCATGATATCACTTCTTTTCAAATTGAGGCCTGGTGTTCTTTTCAGCTGCATATTGAAAGGTAAACAAGTATGGAAAAGTCTTTGAAGATTCTGTGTGAGTCTGTTGCTAGTTAAGTCTTCCTTGCAAAAAATCAACGAGGGTTTCCTGTTGCATGATTACCCAGCCCCTTTTCTCCATAAAGTACAAATGCAGGACTGCAATTCCCCCATTTGTTAATTCTTCCCATTGAACCCATTCCTTTCTTTTAAATATCTTCTTTCTTGTAGTCCACCTTGTTTAGCAGTGAATGTGGAGGATTACAAACATTCTTGTGAGATATGAAACATTCCAGGAAATTTAATTCCTTTCGTCATGGATTTTAGCTATAATGATACTGTGCATTTGTATAACATCTCTGCAGTGAGAAATATGAACCCCTTATTCATTATCTGCAGACAAGCATCATCATCATAATTTCCCATGCTATGTAACTGAGTCACAGGAAATGAAGCAGAAATAAATCATACCTGGAGTGTGACTTGCAAAAGAATGTAGCAGAAAAGAAGGATGATTGCATGTGCCTGGACCCTCGCAGGCTGGACATAAAGCAGCTGCTTTGTCACTCAGCACTAGAGGGTTGGAGCAGGTGGGGCCATGAAGGCGAGTCTAGGATTGTAACCCTGGGTGTTGAGCCTGGGCACAGTTACCTCCCAAGTCCATGTGAACCACCCTGGACTTGAACTTGGGCTGAATCATGCATGGCTCCTTGGATCCCAAATCTCTGATTTCACCAACCAGCCCAGAATCTGAGGGCTTCCAACCACTGTTCTTAAGAATTTTCTCTAATCAAGCCAGCTTCCAAAAATGTCAGTGATGACACTGAATCAAAGCCACCATGTGAAGGATCCTACTGTATGTCTCTTGTCTCCTCAAGACTCCTTTCCAACTGAGAGTTTGGAGCAGGATTCTTTGCCGTGGTCTGCTCTATCAAAGTGTCTAGGAATACCTGAGACCACCAGGAAAGGTACAAGGATTGACAAAAATGACAGAACAGAGAGAGGCCAACAGTTGTCTGCACTTGTGGATAGGACTTTGTACCCTGGCAGCTTCCTGGTGTTTCTGTTTGCATTTACCTCTTATTTCAGTGCAGGAAT